AAATCTCCCAGATCTATCCAACGACTGTGAAGATTCTAAACTAACACGAGTCTCATATGTGTCCAGTTTAAGGGTATTACACAGAAACACACCACAATAACTTGAATCAAATATGTACTTTATTCATTTACAATAAATGTCATAATGTACATCATGCTGATTGGAGCTAAGGGCATACACTGTTTAACAATTGGATGTACACTTTTTGTATCTTGAGGAGAGAATAGTCCTTCTATCTTTTAATATAAAAGGTCATCTTTCTGGGTGTGGGGTCAGTTAGACACACCTGATCTGCTCTTTCTCTTCTTCTGTTTCGCTCGACCTAACTCTGACATGGTATTAGAGCAGGTCGCGACCTGATCTGTTTTCCTTGTTTTTGAACTGCATATTGGTGTGAACACTCCATTATGTCTGAGCTTGCTTCTCCTTCTGCTCATGGAACTTTTCTTGGTTTGTTTTGATCAGCCCTAATATGCTAAACATTGAAGCTACACAACCGGTGAAGAAGATTCTTTGGTTTCTCTCTCCAGTTGCTGTATTCTTTGAAGTTTCTTGCTGCTTGTGCCCAGGCTTGCTACATCAACTGATTTCTACTGTGCTTGGAATTGAAACCTGCCACTGTGCTCTTGTTAGTCTCTTTCCTATCTGTTTTAGGAGCTTGCTTTGGGGTGGATTAAATCGGTTTCCAAGAAGATTTTGTTTCTTCTCTTGGATCAGTTACTCTTTTTGGTTCCTCAGCTGCCTAATTGGTCTTATTGGTCAAGTTTAGAATCCCCCGATCTCCTATTATCTCAACCTTTATTAGTTGATTGTTACTATTATAGTCAACCAGTATTCGTTGTATTCTATCTTTCTTTTTCCTGTACTATCATCACTGGAGGCCTTCTCATCTTTCCCAATAGATGATTTTATTTTAAAGTGGGGTGAGACATCTTTAGAAAAAAGGTTCTGATTTATAAAAATTGGGTGACATTGGAAAAGGGCTTCATTAATCTTAACTTTTATGGTAGCAGCATGAAGAATCTGAGGCCTTCAAGACTGGAAGGAGTTTTTTAGAAGTGACTAGCACAAGGGTAGATCTGTAGATAAATTATGTAAATTACATGCCAGTTGCAAACTCAATGTCTTGTTGGAGTGGTATGGAAAAAGAAAGTATTAAGGTCAGCAGCAGTAACCTCAGGGGAAAGGTTGAAAACCTATATGGAGAAGAAATCATTGCTTGGTTTGTATGGAGAAGAAATCATTACTTGGTATGGATCTACTGATTTCTATCTTAGTTGGCTTTACCTACATTCTCTAAACTGGAATGTAGAACGTGGCTGGATAAAAGCATGTAACAAGAAAGAGAATGTCACAAATGTGCTCAATATGCAGACTGACCTTTGGTGATCTATATGTTCTCAAGATAAGCCTATAGTGGAGAAATGTCGATGTTGAGACAGCTAGAACCAAAGACAAAGATGAGAAAATAGAACCCAATCTGTCCTAGAGAAGTTGTTCAACAATCTGGGTGAAAGAGCCCAAGTTGCATATGGGTCCAAGAATTCGAGGATACTCTATATGGAACCTTAAGGCTCAAGGCTGATGGACCCGTTAGAGCAGAAAAACAGTACGGACCATCAGTTATGCCTGTAAACATTAGAGGGGAATCATACAAAACACTTCCAAGAACAGGGAAGCCAAATGATCAATTTTAAATTGCTACCATTCATTAAGAATATTGTTTCCGTTATTGTAAGCTAATAGAAGAGTTCTTTATTCAAATCTTAAAAAGAGAGTTGATCGATTTGTAGAACCATTTTCAAATTAGAAAACAAAAATAATCAGTTATGCCTATAAATGTATAGAGGGGAATTTTACAAAACTTCAAGAACAGGGAATGATCAATTTGAAATCTTAAAAAGATCTACCTAAACCCATTGGTCTGCTACCCAAAAAGATATTAATTCCTGCCGAGATTTTGATTAATTGTCTATGTAACATGAAATTTTGATTCCATGTACTCGATTCTACAAAATGGAATGAAGAGCTAAAACTCTACCCACTCTGAAACAGATGATAAAGTAAATAATAAATAGAATAGAATAATCTAAAGTGAACAAATGCTAAAATCAAACTGCTAACCACAACACAAATAAATAGGAAAAAGAAAAGATCTGAAAATGAAGCACAAACCATGCTCGGCTGACTGTTGGGGAATTTCCTAATCAATGTGACCAACCACGACTGCACTCCATTATCTATCTAACTTCAGAACAAAAGAAAATAAAATGGACCTTCCTAGATTTACTTTTGGTCAATAGCCAGAACAGGTGGGTTTGACTTGGTTTGAGTCCTCAAACAAGGATGGAAAATTACTAAGAGCACAATGACAGGAAGAGAGCAGACAGTGGACAACTGGTTTGGTTTTGAAAATGGAATAGAGAATAATGGATTGTATGAKTGAGCTTCAAGCTTCTGGTTCAGTGCTGCAACCAGGCGGTGAGAGGAAAAGCTTGGTCATGCTATAATCTGGGGTTCAAGCTTTGGAAGACAGTAACAGGGAGTGAACTGAGGTCTAGTCAAGATCCTGGAATAGGGACCCAATTTGATGATGGTAGGGGTTTAGGGTGATAAGATAGAGAACGAGGGACGATGAAAGGGTAATTATTGGAAATAAAATTCGATCATCGATGAAAGACCAAAAACAGAGCATAAAACTCTTTCTTTTTTAATGTGGTTAATGGATGAAGGTCACATTGTTGTAATTTTCTTACATCCAATTGGAGTAGGGGATGGTTGCAGAGTTTGTGGCCATTATACAGTGAATATAGCTGGCTAGAGGCTTGAACATAAGTAGATTAATCATTGAAATGAACTTAATGATGGTGATGAGTTGGTTGTCAAATGCTGAAACAGCTTTGTGGTCCTATAGAAATGAAATCAAGAAGTCTACATGGCTGAGTAGGAGCATTCAAGTGCAAATCCAATGGGTTCAAAGGTTAGCAAATTGCATTCTTGATGCACTAGCAAAACAATGGGTGAGTAGAAGTCAGTTTGTTGGGGCTCAATTGTTAGTTGAATGTATGCCAAAAGTAATGGAGACAGGTAGTAATGTTTAGCTCCTCTAAAAGGTGCATGTAACGTTTGTAGATATTTACTGTTTATTAGTAATAAAGCTGTTGGTTGGCAGTCAAAAGAAATGACCATTTATTTATACGTTTGTATTTCCTTTTGAACATGTATTTGCGTATTAATGATTGGATAACAACTTTTGCAGGTGGATTGGGAAGAAGAAAAGAATTGCTTTCGAACAATTTCAGCTGCCTTAGGAAATTTCTATGCTATGCATTCTCCTCTTTTGCCAAACCCTGGTGAGAATTTGCAATTTTATAAGAAGGAAAAACAGTTGGGAACTAGGGAAGACAAAAGAGATGGCTGCAAAAGCTTAGGTATTTTTTTCTTATATTTGTGGTGCCAAATTTTACACATACATTTAGTATGGGTTGCTGAAAGGAGTGACATTTTTCCTTGATTTTGTTATCCTCTTTTATATGCTGGTAATTAATATTTCTTTTATATATATATATATGGTTTCCAGATTAAAATTTTGATAGTAGAAGTAGCATACAAAGAACATTTGATAGGTGAAATTAACCCCATGATGAAAGGGAAAAGAAAATTCAATCATATGAACCTGCCCCACCTCAACAGCTGTATGATCATTAAAGCTTCAGCAACCAGACTCAGGACCTAATAGAAACAGATACAATTACCATAGTACCCATCATTGTCCATAGCAAAGAATAATAAAGAATAAATTAGCGATGACAATAACCAATATACCAGCAACTATCAGACTATGTTACAGAAGCTGTAAACGGAGGAAATAAATAATAAAACAAATCTGAAATGATCTATTAACACTCTCCCTCAAGTTGGGTATAGATGTTAAGCCTACCCAACTTGCTTAAATCCATATCAGCAAGCTGCATATCTGAAGTGGCATTAGAAGTAGAACTTATTCTTGATTAAGGCTGCATTTGGCATTCCTTATTCAAAGGACTTGTCCCCTTTTTCCTGTTAAAAACTCAGTGTTCATAGGGGCATTTTAACTGCAAAAAGGAGATAAGTCCTTAAAATAAGGAATGCCAAATGCAGCCCAAGTCAACCCAATTTTGCAGGTACCAACCAAGATTAGGTATAGTCCTCTAAAAAAATGATTACTGTCATCTTTATAGTCCTCTAAGAAAATGATCATAGACATTTAATTGTTTAAGAAAAATATCTTGGATGAAATTCCCATCTCACTACTACCAACCAAGACTTGATTATATTAAATCAACATCCACTAGCAGTCTTGGCAGTATTTTTTTTTTTATCAATGAAGAAAAAATTTATTAAGCATCGAAAAGGAATTACATCAAGGTGGAACATGGAAAGATGACCACCACAAGAAACATTAGATTTTCACCCAAAAAAATTGTTGTCTTATAGTCCCTTGTTTAGCCAATGTGTCTGCCATCCCATTTGCTGTTCTTCTAACCCATCTAAATGTGACATTCATCCCTCTTGCTAGTGATTCAATTTCACGGACTGTATGCCTGTAAACCCATGGGATTTGGGTACTATTCCTAGTCCATGAGATAACTACTTGAGAATCCCCTTCCACTTTCAAGTTAAGAAACCCAAACTGCTTAGGGAATTTAAAGCCCTGAAGAAGATTGTACAATTCTGCTGTCACTGCATCACCATTGGTTATGGGACCTGAATATAAAGCAAGCACCTTCGCTTCTAAGTCTCGAAAGACCCCTCCCGTCCCAGCAATAGCCTGATTGCCTATGTAGCTAGCATCAAAGTTGAGTTTTACACAATTGGCTTCTGTTTGTCTCCATTCCATCACTTTCCCATACTTAAGTGGGGGCACAAGAGTCATTTTGTTATGTAAAATAGAAAGCTAAATACATCCTGGCTGACTGGAGAGACTTGATTTTTCTCTCCTGTTCGAACCAGATTTCTCTCCACACTCTTCTTCTTTCTTCCCTCTCTATTCTCTTTTCTCTTTCTCTCTTCTTTATCTTTTCTTCTCTGGTTAATCTGAAACCAATAGGTATACAGATCTGAACTTTATCATGGTATCAGAGCTTGATTAGATTGGTTCAGATCTGTACAGTTTCTGCACACCCTAGTGGAGTATTTTGCAGATTTCTCTTAGGGTTTTTGGAGTTTGACAAAAAGGCTGAAAAGGAGTGGTCGTTTTCTTCTTCTGGAGGTTTTAATGCCTCCGGTTGAGTGTGGGTGTGGTTGTTTCAGGTGGCTGGTAGGAAACCCTCTAATGGACCGAAGAGGGTTGCTACAGTAATCTCGTGGTCTGTGTTCAGACGTGTAGTTCAGATAGGTGGCCGAAGTTATGTGGAGTGCTGGTGTGATATCCTTGTGTGTGGTGATTTCTTGTAAGGTGCCGAAAGAGGAAGACGGTGGTAACTACCATTGCTGAAATTTGTGATAGTGGATGTTTCAGCAATGGTCAGCCGTAAGTGTGGAATAATGGTGATTGTTCAACCATAAGAGTGTGGTGTGGTGGCTGTTGGTGAGTTAGGGTAACATATTAGTGTGAGAGAAGGAAAAAAAAATTCTTTGGCAACTATGGGAGACAGTAGTGAACACAAATCTATTATGATTCCTCTTGACTACTTGAATGTGCAAATGACCTCCATCAAATTGAATGGAGAAAATTATGTACCTTGGGCCAAATCTATTGAAGTATTTCTCAGAGCTAAGAAGAAAGTGAAACATGTGAGAAAAGAAAAATTCCTAGTTGAATCCGAAGAGTACAAGAAGATGCGTAGATTATGACTTGGTTATGGAACAACATGGAGCCCAAGATTAGTGTGAACTTCATGTTCTTAGACACAACCAAGGAGATTTGGGATCATGCATAGAAGCTTTACTCAGGGCAGGACAATACGACTAGGATATACCTAATCTATCAAGAGTATTTTAATCTGCAGCAGGGTAATCAGAGTCTTGAGGAATACTATGCTAGTCTGAGGAACTTGAGGAATGAGTTGAATGTGTATCACCCACTTGCATCTGATGTCAAAATTTAACAACAACAGAGAGAACAACTTGATGTTACCAGACTTTTGGTGGGATTGAAGTCTAAATATGAACCAGTGAGAACCCAAATTCTGGGTGGGTCTTCCCTCCCTTCTCTTGAAGAGGTGTTTGCCCGTCTTCGAAGGACTTCCATTGGACATCCGGAGAACTCTACCATATCAGATATGTCTGCTTTTGCATTGACAAGGGGGGGAGGTCGTGGTGGTAAAGGAGTAGCTCATCAGGGCCAGCCAGGCCATAGTGGTAGAGGCGGACACATGTACAGTCGTGGTGGTGGGCGTGTTGGAGGTCGAGATTCAGGGGGAGCTCGGTGTAGAGGACGTAATAATGGTCCAAGGAGGTGCACGCATTGTGGATTGAGATGATGAGTATTTCACGTACTGGATATGAGCGGTTGATCCAAGCTACTCAGCCGAGTACAGCTACGCTTGCCTACTCAGGTATGGCTTGTCTGGCATATCAAAACTCTCCCATTGGATCATTGATTATGGAGCTTCCAATCATATGACTGGGACTCTAGGTGTGTTCTCCTCACTTTCTTCATCCTCTACTTCCCACATTGTCACCCTTGCTAATGGTTCCACTTCTTCCATAAGTGGTATTGGTGATGTTAACACTGCTTCATTATCTGTCTTCAGTTTTGTATGTTCCAAAATTTCCTTTTAATCTTATGTCTGTTAGTAAACTGGCCAAGTCTCTTAATTGCTCTATCACCTTTTACCCTTCATCTTGTGTATTTTAGGATATCAAGACGGGAATGAAGATTGGTGGAGGGCATGAAGCTGGTGGATTGTATTACCTTGATGGTGGTGGTGGTGGTTCATCAACAGCTCTTCAATTGTCTCTCTCCCCTCTCCAGTGGCATTGCAAACTTGGTCACCCGTCTCTTAAAGCAATGAAGCAACTTGTTCCAGCATTGAGTCGTCTTTCTACTTTGGATTGTGAGTCGTGCCAGTATGGGAAACATCATCGGGTTTCCTTTAGTCTTAGAGTCGAATGTTGTATGTCGAGTCCTTTTTCTTTGGTCCATTCGGACATTTGGGGTCCAAATAAAATAGTGTCTCACAATGGGTACAAGTACTTTGTTATTTTTGTTGATGATTATTCAAGGATGACATGGCTTTATCTTTTGAAAGAAAGAAGTGAATTATTTTCTATTTTCCAAAAGTTTCATGCTGAAATCTGCACTCAATTTGGTGTCAATATTAAGATCCTACGTTCAGATAATGGTCGAAAATATTTTTATACACCCTTTCAGCAATATTTAGAGCAACATGGTATTATTCATCAAACCTCTTGCTCTTACACCCCTCAACAAAAATGGGGTAGCTGAATTTGGTGTCTCTATTGCACCATATGAATGTTGTGCTTACCCAAACGGTTCTGGAGTGATGTTGTGCTTACATCTTGCTTTCTTATTAACCAAATGCCTATGTCCATCCTTGATGGTCAATCTTCCTTCTCTGTTATGTTTCCTAAATTGTCTCATTTTCCTCTTACCCTCGGGTTTTTGGGTGTGTGTGCTTTGTTCATAACCTTGGCCCCAGACTAGAAAAATTGGATGCATGATCTACGAAGTATCTTTCTTGGCTATTCTAGGACCCAGAAAGGGTACAAGTGTTACAGTCCCAGTTCTCGATGTTGTTTTGTGTGTCCCGATGTTACCTTCTTTGAATCTGTTCCTTTCTTTTCTGGGTTGGATGTCTCTTCCCCTTCCTCTTGCCTTTCGCTTCCAATTCTCATTGCGGACCCCATTCCTCTTGTTCCAGCTGCGACTAAGTCTTCGCCTTTGATTCCACTTCCTCCTGTACAACCACCTATCCAGCAAGTGTATACACATCGACATGCACCGGCCCCTCCAGCTTCTTTACCATCGACGGATCCAACAGTAGTTTCCGCAGCACCATCACACCCTGTGTCTGACCTTGACCTTCCCATTGCCCTACGGAAAGGTAAATGTAGTTGTACCCTTCATCCTATCTCCAATTATGTTTTTGTTTCTCACCTCTCCTTCCCATCGATAGTTTGTTTCATTGTTTTCTTCTATTTTTGTTCCTAAGGATGTCCAAGAAGCCCTTATTTCTCCGAGATGGTGTCAGGCAATGGAAGAAGAACTCTCTGCTCTGGCTCATAATCATGTGGGATCTTACCACTCTTCCCCCTGGTAAGCATGCTATCGGATGTAAGTGGGTATACACGGTCAAGTATTTGCCTGATGATAGTGGATGATAGTGTTGAAAGATTGAAAGCTCAGTTGGTTGCCAAGGGTTATTCACAATTATATGACATTGACTACATAGAGACCTCTCTTGTTGCCAAGATTGGTTCTGTT